TGGTGGGAGGGAGGGTGGTGGTCCTTACTGTAGGCAGAGGAGTAGCCACTGTGGTTGTCATTGGTTTCCTCACTGTTTTGACCCTTGTTGGGAGATTATTGCTCTTCCTTGGCTCCTCCTTCCTTGCTGAGACCTGGACGTGTCCACTGGCAGGGGTAGGCTGGGTGCTGCCCCCGTTATTGCCTTCCTCAACCACTTGTCCCTCCACCCCAGCTGCTTTGCAAGTCTGGATGAAGCCCTTCTGCCTCATCTTCTCAATTTTTCTGATGGGGCTTTGGTCAATGACTTCGTACATGGCCTCCAGCCTGACTGGGTAAGGGTACCTCTCCTCCACCTGCAGGGTTTTCTTCAACAGCACCATTCCAAATTTCCCCTTCTCCAGCTTCAGAAAGCTCATGAGCTTAGGGATCAGGGCAGGATCTAGCGGCTGCTCCAGGATTTTTCCTTCATTTGTTATCCTTCTGACTTTTCCCCCTTCTTCTCCTTCTTCATGGAACAACACAATCTGCTGGATGTGCCTCTCAGCCAGCTCACAGTAAACATCATTTTTCAGCAGGCTCATCATGAGCCGGTAGTAGCCCTCTGAGGGGTGGGGGGCAGAAATGACCCACACCCGGTTTTTCCCAGCAAAACTGGCCAAGACATTGGGGGAGCTTGACCCTGAAGGGAAACGCAGCGCTCGTGACTGTGAGGCAGAGGATATCCCTTCATCCTTAATCATCTCAGACTTGGAGTATTTGGCTGTAGCTGTGAGTCTCTGTATCCGTCTCATCCTGGTGCCCACGCCCCTGGCCTGGGAACGTGCATCCCCTTGCAGGAGATGGGCAGGTGCCTTTGGAGTTGCTAAAGAATCCCTCTTGGTGAGGGGGTGCTGGGGATTTGGGCTCGAATTCCTCGGGGATGCTCCAGCCCTTCTCAGGAGGCTGGTTGGAGCCCTGTAGGCCAGGGGCACTTTCCTAGCTCCACGGCTCCCTCTCTCTGCTGCCTTCCCCATCTCCTCGGAGCTGCACACAAGCCACGCTGCCCACAGCAGGGCTAAGCCGAGTGCTGGCCTCCAGTTCATTGTGCAATCTGCTGGGGGGGGGGCGAGGAGGAGGAAGAGAAAAAGCCCCGTTACCACCGTGAGGATACCTTGAGCAAGCGATCACAAGAGGGCAAAGCACAATCTAGCTCCTTTCTGCCATTTAAAATGCTCATTACACCCCCGTGCCTGCCCTGGTGGCTTCGTACAGTTTACAGTTATTTTTGGAAAAGAGCAAAATGGATCATTTCATGCAAAAGTGAGGTCATCCTTCTCTGGCTGTCCAAAAGGACAGCGTGAGCTGCATCCTTCTCTCCCGCTCTGCCTCTCTCACGCTCTCACACACACACATCCAAACAACACACTGAGAAAGGGTCCAGTACAGAGAGCAGAAAGCCAAGAATTTCACTTGAGACTTACACTCTCAGGGAAGTTCCCCTTCCAGAGACGAGTCTTTCTCCTTTAAAAGGACAGCAGTGCCATAAAGCTTTGCCACTGCCCAGGGGTTTATCCTTCTGCAGCCCCCACAGCCCGTCCGTCTCCCTGGGTGTGCTTTAACTTCCTTTCTTCTTCACCTTCTTGACAAGTGGGATGAGGTCAGTGGAAACTTCCTTTGGGATCTCTGCTTCTCCATTTACCTGCAGGTCTGGCTTTTTGCTGCACTGCTTACCCCCACGGGCAAGGATTTCATTTAAGCAAAAGGAACTCCCAGCTGCTGCGAGTCTCTCTCTTTTGAAACTTCCCCAGCCTCCTTCTCACTCGTTTCCTCAGCCTCGTTCAGCTCCTTTGTTTCCAGAGAGGAAAGCACCAGCATTAATATATTTTCCAGGCTGAATAAAAACACAGGAATGTGATGCTGGGGGAGAAAAAAAAAAAGAAAAGAAAGAAAACTCTTCCCTTTCCCCCTTTCTCCACGCTTTGACAAAAGCAAATTGTAAAAGACTCTTCTTTTCTTCTCTTGCCCTTCTTGGCTGGCTGTGATCCCAGAAACGTCAGGGTAACCCCAGCCCTGCTCTGAACCAGCCTCAGACAACGGTGGCCACTGGAAATGGGGGAAACTTCACTCAGGATTTAACAGCTCAGCAGAACCCGCCTCCTCCCCACTCCAACACAGAGAGGGAGGAGGAGGAGGAAGGCACTGGGGGCTGAAATACTGCACAGCATCACAGAGCACTTCAGAGAGGGTGACTCCAGCCTTAACTCTTTCCTTCACGGCTCCCTGCCCCTCTCCAAGCTCAGCTCTCTCTTTCCTCCCATGAAACAGACACTCCCTGGGGAGAAAATAATCCTGTGAGAAGCGTGTTTCCCCATCAGTGTCAAAAACAGCTCTGTTGTTTAATCATTTTTAAACTCCATTATTTCTACCTCCTGCTCCCCTTTTCCCTGTTTGTTTGTTTGCTTTCTGGGAGTTCTCCAGCAAAATCTGATTTCTCTTCACCAATTTCTCTTTCAGGTCCTCATGTATATTGGTACAGTCTTTTCTGCAGACATCATAGGGGCATGGCTGTTTGATAATTTGTGGCTTTTAAACAGCTCAGGCTGCTTATTATTATACTAAAATTAAGAGTTATGTGTATTTCCCATCAATGCATGCTAGCAGTGGAAAAAAATAAAAAGAGAAAATGTGCCCAAATACCTACAGAGCCACGGGTAAGGACAGGGTCACGTCCTCTGCTCTCCCTTCATGGTGTAAATAACACCATTCTATTGAGCTGACGTAAACTGGCCCAGCTACACTGCCAGCACCTGGCCTGGGGCTGATTTACACTGGCCTCAGTGTTCCCTGCACCACTTAACTGCAGCTGATGGATAACACCTAAAAACATCCAAGAGCTTCAGACTGTTTTTCCTGTTTTCCAAGATTTCACTGATTTGCAGAGAAGCTGTTAGGTTTCTGTGACAACGTGCTGGATTTGACCTCAGTTATCTTGGAGGAGAGGATAATGTACCTTCTACTCACATCACAATTAATGACAGATTCTGATTGTGTTTTTGCAGAGGACTTAGTGGTGTTGGCTTGATGGTTGGACTGGATGATCTTGGAGGTCTCTTCCAACCTAAAGGATTCTGAGTCTAACGTTTTGAGGATAAAATCTTTCCTTTTCTTCCTCTCTTTCCTTCTTTGCTTCATTTTTACTTGAAGTTGTCCAATGCACTAATAAACCCTCGGAGTGGTTTTGCCTAGTGTGTGTCCACAGTTTGCATTCCGTGGCCAGTGGTTTGCCCTGGAGGCAGGGGAGGATGCTGAAGGTCTGTAATCACCTGAACAGGAGTGCAGAAATGCTCAACCTCTCCCAAAATATCATATCCTGCACTCACTGGGAGTTAGGAGGATTGTACCTCTCAGGAGGATCACGAAACTGGAGTTTGACAGAGCAAGGGTGGGTAACATTTTCCACTTAAATCAGTGCCTGGTTTGCTAGTTTATTAATCTTAGAATTAAAGGTCTCTAAACATCGTGCTGGTTTATGCTGACATTTCAAAGGAACTGTCATTCAGAAGGAGGTTTTCACATCAATGTTTCCTCCAGCTTCATTAAAAGATTTAAAACCACAAGAAACGACCCTACAAAGTTAAAGCCAAGTATTTCTTTTGGGGTAAATTAATTTAAAAATAAAATCAGAAAATCCTCCCCAAAATCCAACTAAATTAATTGGGTTTTCTTGGGTTTGGTGACAATTTGTAACCACACAGAAGGAAAACATCACTTATCTGCATAGGTTTAATGAAACCAAGGAAAACACACTCAGTGCATGACAATAAAGGACAAAAACAGATTTCCATAATATCTCTGCTCTCTATCCTATCCCATATATAATATCCCTATTATAGGTATGCTAAAGAATTTCCATGAGGGTTTTTCTTTGCTCTCTCAACCTGATTAAAAAAGTAACATGCTACAGAATCTGTCTTAAGGGTGGCCAGTCAGTGAAGATGATAAATTGTGAGGCAGCTGTAGCACACAAGACATGGAGCCACAGGGATTATTCTCAAGGCTGATGTTTATTCATGTCTTTATCTGAGGTGAAAAATAACCTTGAAACGACTGCTGAAAATATTTGGCATCAGAATTCTTTAGAAAGTCAATAATTTATGCAGGCCAACACAGGACTCCTGGTAGAGTGAACATGTTTTTTATGGGGCCAATGCAAGGTCATAAAGCATGAGGAAAAAAAATGCATGAAATAGGCATAAGATAAGTTTAGATTTGGTGCTCAGGTGCTGGGGTTAAACCCCCAGCCTTGAACAAGGACTGGCATATGGATGATGGCCACAACCAGGCAAGAAAGCCCCTCCTGAGGGGTTTTCACCCAGGGGCTGGCCAGCTTGGGTGGGAACTGATGAGGAGATCACCAGCAGGTGCCCCAAACTTCCACCTGAACTTGGAGGTGGGGCAAGAGCTGCCTATATAAGAGCTGACCCTGCTGGAAAGTTTGTGTGGGTTCTGGTTATTGGAAGTGCTCTCTGGCTCTTCATGGCAAGTGGAGTTCCCAGGATGGCAGGGCCAGAACATGGAGCTGTCTCTGAGTCCCTGCTCTATATCTGGGCTCCTGGCCTGGCTGCTCCCATCTCCCATGGCTTTGCTCCTCACCTGGCTGCTCCCTTCTTCACATCCACTGTGGTGAGTGAGAGCATTGACTTGTTCCTTCCTCTGGTGTGTGATGTGGGTGTGGAGGGAGGAGTTTGGCTGCTGCTCTGCCTCTTAATATCATTTTATGTTGGGCAAGTGGTCAGCAGAAGATGCTCAGGTGCTGAGTGATGTGGCTTAGTGGTGGACTTGGCAGTGTGAACAGTTGGACTTGATGACCTTAAGGTCTTTTCTGACTCAAATGATTCTATGATTCCCCAAAGAACAACATCCTAGAAGGCAGCTATTCTGTCTGGGACTTAAAGGTCATAGTGTATAAGGCACTGGAAATATTTTGTTGTGATGTTGCAGCAAGAAGAAGTCTGCCAGCATGATGGTGAGAAGTTGGGAAGCTGTATGGAGTGGCAACAAGGTGGTTGCTGCCATGCACATCAACATGATCTTCTCCTACATGTGCAGGAGAGGCTTTCTGCTGCCTTTGAATCAGGGCTCTGAGAAATCTTCTTGGCTAGATTGGAAATCATGGTAACAAGGAATGAGAGCCCAATGGTCACATCTACACAGAAAACATGAGATCAAAATGGTACCCACCCCTGAAGAGTGCAGTTCTCAGGAGGCTTGGGGCATGAATTCTTTAGCCCACTGGACTGACAAAGGCAATTTGAGGAAGGGGGAATGAAGTCTACAAGCCCTGGAGCCCTTGGAGTGGTTTTAATAAGGAATTGAAAGTTAATGCTGTGTCCACAAAGGGAAAATATATATGTTTAAGTCCTCTGAGTCTTTCTATATTCTAGTTTTGGTATCAGACTTAAAAATATATAGTGTGCACACAACTCAACTATTTTCACTGCTGAGGAATTTACCTCCTGAACTGGTATTTACTCCTACAAAACCTGGAGAAATAAGGTAGCAACAAGGAGACAGCCAGTAGACTTCCTTTTTCCATAGGCTTCCAGGCAATTCTCCAGAGCCAGGGTAGGAGAAACTGCTTACAAGGAAGGTGAAAGGAGGCAAGGGGCTTGGGAAAACTGGTGTTAGCTGCTTTGCATCGAGCTGGGAGCCAAATAAGCAGGTGTAGGTTCCCCTGCTGGTGCCAGTGGGGGGTTATTAGGGTAAAGAATACCAAAACCTGGATCCTGTGAAGCCAGACATTGTTGATACTCTAAGAAGGGACAGGTTTCTTGAACCCTGCTGGCTCCACGCTTTCCTGAGAGGGGAGGGGGTTATTATTAGTGACCTGCCTGGGGTCATAACCCAGCCAGCAGCTGGGGCAATAACAGCTCCTGGTGTAAACAGGGGAACTGCACTGCAGCCCCTGTATGGAAGCAGGAAGAGGAGCCAGGCCAGGGAGGCTTGCAAAAGCAGTGACCCATAATGAGAAGAGCAGTGTGTGGTTACTCAGATCAAGCTTCTAAAATAAAAAGGTGCTTTTGATCAATAGGTTGGCCTCATTTGAATCTTCACTTTTGAAGTATGCTTTTTTAGTTCTGTGAAGCCTCCAGGAGTTTTGCTTAGGAATTGGTGATGTGTTGTGACATTTCAGGCTTTAAAAATAAATATTATGGACTTTAAAATGTTTCCAACTGTAGGCTAGGAGTCCTAGGTGCTGACAGAGGGTTGGTCAGCCCCAAAGGTACAGGCTCCATTTGAGATGCAGAGTGGGTGCACGTCTGGGTGTTACTCTTGGCCTGTGCTCAAACTGATCTTGTGTTTAGCACCTCTCCTCGTCCAGTTTACAGAGCCTCCTGGTGAGAGGATGGCTCTCACATCACCTCATTTCTTGTTCTCCATCTGCTTGACATCTGGGATGGAAACAGCAGCCAGGGAGAGCAAAACATCATCTGGGCAGGACTGACATGAGTC